TCTGTGTCTCTGTGTGTCTGTGTGTGTGTCTGTGTGTTTGTCTCTGTGTGTGTCTGTGTGTGTGTGTCTGTGTGTGTGTGTCTGTGTGTGTGTGTCTGTGTGTCTGTGTGTCTGTGTGTCTGTGTGTGTGTGTGTCTGTGTGTGTGTGTGTCTGTGTGTGTGTGTCTGTGTGTGTGTGTCTGTGTGTGTGTGTCTGTGTGTGTGTGTCTGTGTGTGTGTGTCTGTGTGTGTGTGTCTGTGTGTGTGTGTCTGTGTGTGTGTGTATGTGTGTGTGTGTCTGTGTGTGTGTGTCTGTGTGTGTGTGTCTGTGTGTGTGTGTCTGTGTGTGTGTGTCTGTGTGTGTGTGTCTGTGTGTGTGTGTCTGTGTGTGTGTGTCTGTGTGTGTGTCTGTGTGTGTGTCTGTGTGTGTGTCTGTGTGTGTGTCTGTGTGTGTGTCTCTGTGTGTGTGTGTCTGTGTGTGTGTGTCTGTGTGTGTGTGTTTGTGTGTGTGTGTTTTTCACGGTGCTTTCAGGTCAGGGGAGGGGGGTGTGTTGCACAACCAGATGGAAGCCACTGTGTTGGCCATGCCTTTTGCGCTGCCAACCAGCTCTGTGTGTCTGTGTGCGTGTGTGACAGTTGAGAGCCTCGCTTGAGTTTTTCTTTTACATCGAGACTGCAGTTACGCGTTTGGGTTTCATTTTTCGCGGTACTTTCGGGTCAGGGGAGGGGTGTGTGTTGCACAACCAGATGGAAGCCACTGTGTTGGCCATGACGTTTGCGCTGCCAACCAGCTCTGTGTGTCTGTGTGCGTGTGTGACGGCCTGAGAGCCTAGCTCGAGTTTTTGTTTGACATCGAGACTGCAGTTACGCGTTTGGGTTTTATTTTTCGCGGTACTTTCGGGTCAGGGGAGGGGGGGGTGTTGCACAACCAGATGGAAGCCACTGTGTTGGCCATGCCGTTTGCGCTGCCAACCAGCTCCGTGTCCCGCCTGGTGACTTTTACATGCTTTTACTCTGTGTTTGGGACTGCTTTCTGGGGAAGAAGCATGCGCGACATGAACATCGGCGAGCCGTGGCTCTGTCACTGCGGAGCCCCAGCCGTGCTCAGCGCGCCTTTGTCTCCCCCAACCCGCATTTTGTTGCAACCCTTAAGGAAGCTTAAGGGTCGATACGTCAAACTTGTTGGTTCGTGCGTAGCCCAAGTTGTTTGTATGTTTGTCTCGTGTTGAGATGCGTTCCGTGGACATTCATTCTACCACCGAGCGGGTCGACTGTGAGTGGACGCACGTTTTGCTGCAACCCTTAAGGACGCTTACAGGTCGTTTTTCGCTCGGTGGGTGGGCATTTTGTTGCAACCCTTCCGGAAGCTTGGGGCGATAAGTCGAACTTTTTGGCTGTTGCGTAGGTGACGGTGTTTGTCTCGCTTTGCGCTGCTCGACCCTGCCAGAAACAAGCGCTAGCTTTCGTGGCCTTCTCTCAAGTTTGGTTGGGAGGGTTCCGAACCCTAATTACTAAAATCGACTACAGTTCTAAGGTTGATTCCCCATTTTTCCTCACATGCGCACTCAATAAAATCATCGGAAAGGGTACCCTTATTCTAACCTCTCTACTGGAGGACCATCGCGTCATAAGAGCCAGGCTCTTGAGCACACCGACAGCTTGCTGGAGCGCTTCATTTCCGGCTTTGCGGCTGCGGGCGGCAAGTTGTTGGAGAAGGAGGTGCCAGAGAAAAACGAGTCGCCCGCCGCCCGAGTCGGCCGAGCAGAGGCTTTGGCTTTTGAGGGTCAAACGACCCCAATGAGCTTCAAGACTTGGCACTTGTGTTTTTGGTTTTCATCTTCGGTTTACTTTTGGGTCTCCTTCAAAACCACCAAAAACGGCTATACCCTCAAAAGGGGTATACCCTTGATAATCCTCTTTAACCGCACTGGTTGAACCTTCCATTTGCTGAAATGAACACATTTTGTTGTTTCTTTTGTTGGTTTTAAAGGGAATGTATCACCACCAGAAATATGTTTGCACTTTTTCTAGGAGACGTATTCGCAAATGGAGGCGACTGTGATTGAAACATATCACCTGGGCTAATTTCGAAGGTGTCCCCTTCCTTGGGGTTAGAAGGGGAGATTAGAAGGAACGGTAGAGATGGACATGAACCCCCAGCAGATTGGCATGTGTGGTGCATTGCTTCAAATTGGCTGGATTGTTCAATATGAAGCCTTTATGTATCCTACAAATTATGGATCAAGTAACGTTCTAGTCATATGCATGGCCTTTGGTATTTGTGCGCATGCGCACATGCGCGCACACCAGAGATGATCAGGTCGGCCCGCGTAAGTGCCTTGCCTTCCTTTCCAAGGCTCATAGGCTCCAGATGTTCAGTGGCGCCAATGATGTTTCCCTTTTTGTTCGTGGCTGCCCCAGTAAAAATGGTCTCTCTGCCCCAACAAGGGTTCCAATTCTTTTGTATGGGGGGTGCGTCTTCTTTGTGAGGGTAGCTTTGCTAGGTCCCCCCAGCTAGGTGCCCTTTCTAACCAACTTTTTTGGTTGGGAGGGTTCCCCTACTAAAATAGACTACAGAAAAAAATGGTACCCTGATTCTAACCTCTCTACAGGAGGACCTAGTTGTATTTAAAGGACGGGAAGTCAGTGCAAGCGGAACCTTCAGAAATCGTGGCCCTGGCATGAGCTTGGCTCCGCGTGCGCTTGACGGAGGCAGCCTCGAGCATTGGCACGGCACGCACTATTTTGTTTTCTTTTCTTTTTTCTCCCCGCAAGCATACGTGAACCTTTTGTGGACTTTCCTGGGGTCGGCCAGCAAAAGCTTGACCTTGGTTTGTGCGTGTTGAGCATTTGCAGGCTTCCTCGAAGTCAACAAATGTAACAGCTCGGTGCCGGTGTGTTCTTTTCAGTTTGCACAAACGCGCAACCCTCTGCGGCGTGGGGGTCGACCATTCATCGGCTAGCACATGAGCTAGCTAGCTAAGCACCGAAGAAGTTGCTAGGTAGCTGTCTAGCTACTTGGCGACTTGGCGACATAGCTATCTAAGTGACGAATTAATTCGCGAGTTTCTACTTGGTGGCTCCCAGCCATCCCCTTATAGTGGGTATCAATCAGTTAGCACACGGCATTCCAACGTTGAGTGCTAACTGTTTGGGCGCTTGCGCAGCGTTTTTTTCCCAAGCCGTGGTTGAGGCCCAACAGTTAGCACTCCAACTAGTCTGGCAGTCGGATTGTTCAAGGTCTTTGAAATAAGGCTTGGCATCAAAATAGCTTTACATGGGCATTTGGAAGGAAGGACGGAAGGAAGCACGGAAGCGAAGGAAGCGAAGGAAGCAAAGGAAGCAAAGGAAAGGAAGGAAGGAAGGAAGGAAGGAAGGAAGGAAGCAAGCAAGGAAGCAAGGAAGCAAGGAAGCAAGGAAGCAAGCAAGGAAGCAAGGAAGCAAGGAAGCAAGGAAGCAAGGAAGCAAGGAAGCAAGGAAGCAAGGAAGCAAGGAAGCAAGGAAGCAAGGAAGCAAGGAAGCAAGGAAGCAAGGAAGCAAGGGAAGCAAGGGAAGCAAGGGAAGCAAAGGAAGCAAAGGAAGCAAAGGAAGCAAAGGAAGCAAAGGAAGCAAAGGAAGCAAAGGAAGCAAAGGAAGCAAAAGACGCAAAGGAAGCAAAGGAAGCAAAGGAAGCAAAGGAAGCAAAGGAAGCAAAGGAAGCAAAGGAAGCAAAGGAAGCAAAGGAAGCAAAGGAAGCAAAGGAAGCAAAGGAAGGAAGGAAGGAAGGAAGGAAGGAAGGAAGGAAGGAAGGAAGGAAGGAAGGAAGGAAGGAAGGCAGGACGAGACTCAGAGCTGCGCAGGGTGCTGCAGAGTTGCGCAGGGTGCTGTTGCAGGTTGCCATGCCAGAATCATCATTACTTCGAAACATCCTGGGGGGGGGGTGCCGCAGTTGCGCCGATGGATGCACCTAAGGGAGAAGTGCGCCCTTAATGGGGGTGCATGCCACGCACTAAAACTGCTGCGTTGCCATTTCAGTGAAGGGCAAAGACTGTAGTTAGGAGGAGCGCATTGGCAAGCGTGATGATCCGAAGAGTCCTGGCTGACACCAGCTGAGAAGGCGCTAGGGTCTGGCGTGTGCTAACTGTAAGTCAGAGGTTTGGCCGTATGTTGGGCCTTGCAAGTTAAGCCTGAGCGGATTCTTGAAGCTTGCTTAGCCTGAGCGGAAGCCCAAGTGTGTTTGCGCTTGCGTTCGCACATGCCTGTGCGTGGCATCCGCGTTTCTCCCGAGCGGGATCCTGAAAGTTTTAAAGTTTGCCCGCCAAGGCCCCTTCGCGTGGCATCCGTAGCCGGCCCGAGCGGGATCCCGAGCTGGCTAGCGAGCCTGGCCGTTTTGGTCCTTTCAGCCGCCTGCGTGTTGCATCCCGAGTGGACTCCCGAGCGTGGCGATTCTTCTCGCTGTCGCAAGGTGGTGGCGAGGTAGCGGATCTTTCAGGACTGATGCGCTTGGCCCGAGCGGGATCCCGAGCGAGTCTGCTTGGCCAAAACTGTAGGAGAAGCGCGTTGGCAAGCGTGATGCGAACACTCCTGGCTGACACGGCGAAAGGAGGCGCAAGCGGGTCTGGCGTGTGCTAACTGTATGCTTCGGCAAGAGGGTCTGACGCCTTTGCGTGGCACCTGTGCTCGCCCCGAGTGGGATCCCGAGCGGGCTAGCGAGCCTGGCCGTTTTGGCCTTTTAGCCGCTTGCGAGTTGCATCCATAGTAGTTGGCCCGAGTGTCCTTATCTGCGCCTTGGCGCGGCGCACGTGTTTGGCCCGAGCGGGATCCCGACTGTGTCTGCTTTTGGTCCTCACCAGCGCCTTTGCGCAGCATCTGTGCTCGGCCCGAGCAGGATCCCAAGCCCCTCTGCGCGGCAGAACTTCGAGCGTGTTTGTGGGCTTTCAAGAGTAAAACCAGAGCACGGTGTTATTTCAGGATGATGGACTTGTCTTTTCTCGCGGGTAGAGCTTCCACACTGTGTCCTAGCCCAGCTTGGTAATGCGTTTGCGTTTGCGCGCAACATGATGCAACACTCGGACGAAGCAAGCTTCTTCATAATGTCAGTCGTTTTACTACGGGCGCGCTTTCAAGTCGCAGGAGGCATTGCTTTAGCGGTGGAGAAGCAGGCTTTTAGGGGTGCAGCTGCCGGGCTTTTAGGGGCTCGTTGTTTGGGAATCCGCAAGCCAAATTCAATTGTCGCAAGACAGTTGGGCTGCCATTGCGGGAAACGGCAAATATTGTAGGAGAAGCGCGCTGGCAAGCGTGATGCGAAGAGTCCTGGCTGACACGGCCAAGCAAGGTGCAAGAGGGTCTGGCGTGTGCTAACTGTATGGCTTCCGCAAGAGTGACGCCTTTGCGTGGCATCCGCGTTCGCCCCGAGCGGGATCCCGAGCGGGATCCCGAGCGGGATCCCGAGCGTGGCTTCGCTTGCCTTTGCAAGGCCCGAGCGGGATCCCGAGCGGGCTAGCGAGCCTGGCCGCTTTGGTCCTTGCAGGCGCCTGCGAGTTGCATTAAACTCTCGAGCGTGACGGTGTTGGTCCTTATCTGCGCCTTGGCACGGGTTTGGCCCGAGCGGGATCCCGAGCGTGGCTGCTTTTGTCCTGACCAGCGCCTTTGCGCGGCATCTGTGCTCGGCCCGAGCGGGATCCCAAGCCTGTTTGCGGGCGCGGCCCCGGCAAAACTTCGATTTGTGGGCTTTGAAGAGTAAAATCGGAGCACGGTGCTTCGTCTTTTTCTTGCGGGTAAAGCTTTTACACGGGCCCAACTGTCCGCTGCGATAATGCGTTTGCGTTTGGATGCAACATGATGCAACACTCGGACAACGCGAGCTTCTTGATGATGTCGTTGATGTGTGCTACGGGCGTCCTTTCAAGTCGCAAGAAGCATTGCTTTAGGGGTGGAGTTGCCAGGCTTTTATAGGGGCCTGTTGTTTGTGAATCCCAGAGCCAAATTCAATTGTCAAGACAGCTATTGCAGTAGAGAAGCGGGTTGACAGGCGTGATGCAAAGAGCCCTGGCTGACACGGCCAAACGAGGCGCAAGAGGGTCTGGCGTGTGCTAACTGTATGGCTTCCGCAAGAGTGACGCCTTTGCGTGGCAGCCCCGAGCGGGATCCCGAGCGGGATCCCGAGCGTGGCTTCGCTTGCCTCTGCTTTTTCCTTGCGTGGCACCCGTGCTCGGCCCGAGCGGGATCCCGAGCGGGCAGGCGAGCCTGGCCGCTTTGGTCCTTGCAGGCGCCTGCGTGTTGCATCCATAGCTGGCCCGAGTGGACTCCCGAGCGTGACGGTGTTGGTCCTTATCTGCGCCTTGGCACGGGTTTGGCCCGAGCGGGATCCCGAGCGTGTCTGCTTTGGTCCTTACCAGCGCCTTTGTGCGGCATCTGTGCTCGGCCCGAGCGGGATCCCAAGCCTGTTTGCAGGCGCGGCCCCGGCAAAACTTCGAGCGTATTTGTGGGCTTTGAAGAGTAAAATCAGAGGACGGTGCTTCTTCAGGATTATGGACTTGTCTTTTTCTTGCGGGTAAAGCTTTTACACGGGCCCAACTGTCCGCTGCGATAATGCGTTTGCGTTTGGATGCAACATGATGCAACACTCGGACAACGCGAGCTTCTTGATGATGTCGTTGATGTGTGCTACGGGCGTCCTTTCAAGTCGCAAGAAGCATTGCTTCAGGGGTGGAGTTGCCAGGCTTTTATAGGGGCCCGTT